ACAGAAACCTGATTAAGTCTTATTCCGACTGGACAACACATGTGAATAACACATTCTTTCATTTGAAAAATAAACATACTGGCATATCCTTCTACTTGGCATTATCCTTTAATTATTTATACACAAATAAATATGACTGGCAACCACAGCATTCCAAAGATGGCTTCCCCTGCTGCCTGCCCCAGTAGTGATGCTTTCCATGGTGACTGCAAGGACAATCCCAGGCATAATTGTACATGTTAAGGATAAACATACTTGGAAGAAACCTTAAAAATAATGGATTAGCTTATTTAATGATTTTACATGTTATATCCCCTTGGGCTAAGTGCCCTATGCTGGCATAACAGGATGAAGAGCCAGGCTATAGGACATCAATAAAAAGAACAAATGGAATTCAATATTTGCTTTTTGTATCCCAGTCTTTCAACTGTTATGGCTGCTACAGTTTTATTGCAAGCCTTTGAATTAATGAAGAGAATATACTGGTAAATAGAAAGGCATTTCATGTTCTACCAAGGGAAATTGAGCTGCTATGGAAAAATATACCCCAAAATAAAAATAAAAGTTTTGTGGGTTTTCAAAGATAAATTGTCCCTCCCTAAACTAACATGATTTAAACCTTTTGAAATGCTAGGAAATCTTAAGTTTTTGCAAAATGCAAACATTTTAGGTCATGTCATTTAAACAATTTTATTAGAGAACTCAAAAACAAATGTGTGAATGGAGACACTGATGGATAGGGAGTAGCTGAGAAATCGGTGTCAAGTTGCTCCCTTCCACAGGAAATTCACTTTCTACAGTTCAAATCAGCTGACACTTAAAGAACTTAGTTTTGGCTTTCAGTAATGAATGCCATTGGACAACAACATCTATTCAATGCATATTTTTCAAAAAAAGCAAAATATAGGAATATGCTGACTGACATGAGATTATTTGGAGTTCTGTTCTTTCTACCCATCTATTCTCTATATCTTGTTATACCAGCAAACATTTTGATCTGTATCCAGTAATTTATACAATATTGGCTAATTGCAGGAAGAAAAAATGCTCAGACATAATACCTAAACTTCTTTTGAAATAGTTTATGTAAATGCAAACTTGATGAATTTTATAGTTGGAAACACACAGAATATGTGCATATATTTGTTTGAAGTGCATATGTTTATTTATGCACTCATATGTGCACTTCATATACACTTCATCATAATATATGTATGTTACATTGATCAACTTTGGGCTGAAGAAATTCCGGGAGGAAATCTTACCTCCTAGTCATCAACAGCTGCCAATGATGAGTCCCTGCGCATTTCAGGTGCTTTACATGAACAACAGGGACTCTGTCAATCACTCTGAGAGGTGAGTGCCATCACCTCCTTTTCCCACAGTAGGGAATTGAAGTGACTCACCACAGAGCTAGACAGTTCCAAAGAAATTGAAGTTTAAACCCCGATCCGAGTGACCTGAAATCTTGTGCCCTCTCTACTATGCCTCCTCCTAAAACATGGCTTCTTACTCAGACACAACTGCCCTACTATTAAATCTTCAATACCATCATGAGTTAATGTGCCAACATGGGATCGGTGATAGCTAATACCACATCTGATGGCTAACACTAAAAGCCATGCCATCAACAGCCACAGCACTATCCCAATATTTTGCAAAACATTTTAACTCCCTTTGGAGAAAGGACACTATAAGGATGTGAAACTATATCATTTCTAGATTCATTTAGACCTAATCACAATTTCTTTCTGAATGTCCTGCAATGCTCTAAGCTCTGGGAATGGCATGGCTTATGGTAAGTCATGTGCAGTTTGAAGCATTTTCTTTTACTTTAGGTAAAAAGATAACATGCCTCCTTGTTTTCTTCTACACACACACCTGTGGTCTCCCTTTTGAAGATCATTTGTTTTTGCCAGATTTATAGTACTTTGCTTGAAAGTCATTTAATACATGATGAAATGCAACTTTTTACTAAATAGGAGTAAAATAGTTTTATGGAGAATTGAGACCCATTTTCCTATGAAATACTGTTGTAAATAAAAATTTAGCTTATCAGCATTCACAAGTAAAAGGCTTCAATATATATTTAAAAGTAGCTATAGAATGAACTGTTTGGACATATATTACTTAATTTGTTCCTCTCCATATTCTCTAAAACACTTCTTAGATGACCTTCAGATTCTGCTTAGAAAGATACAATAAAATATGATTAACATAATATTTACTTTCTTTTATATACTCTGAATCAATTCATATATATTCAAATCAAATGTATTCTCTGCTTCAAGAAATCTTCTGATATGTCCACACTCTACACTCTTCAGATATAATGTAATAGAATACCTATAACAGACAGCTTGGTGCTTTTTCTTTTTTTGAGAAGAGTAATCTTTTAGATTCTTTCTGACAAATAGGAGAGATTTTCTAAGTGTTTGGAAATTGAATGCTGGTAAATAATTTAAGTCCTTTTTCTTGCATCATGACATCGAGGCTAGAGGAATGTAACTTGTACAAGGCTGAAGCTGGACGGGGTAGGTATCAACATCTGCTTTTTTTGGTAAATTTAGCAGAAACACTTGGTGCAGGTCCTTTAAACTATTCAAACACTGGTAGTAACAAAAGCCAGTTGGAACACTGAAAACTGAACTCTAGTGGACTTAAAAGCTGTTTTATTCAGATGCAGAAGAGAAGGAAGAGAAAATCAGTATTATGTTCTCTGTCGGTTCCCAAGGTGAAGCTGGTGTACAGAACCCTGTTTATTTCGCCAGCTACAGTGATGGTAACACTGTTTTGGGATCCCTTCTAATTTTTTCTTGTTAACTCTCTCACAGGGTACACATATAGTGACCACGATCCTCCCATTGTCAGTGGAAATAATTTATCCAAAATATGATTATTTTTGTGAAGCACATTGCCTGCCACAGAGGTGGCCTGCCCTACTCTCTCATGATGAGACTGATCTTAATTTAGATTTCTAGGAATCCATTGGGAATTTCAAATTAAATAGCAAGAGGTGACCTTTAAAGTCTCTTTCTGGAGACAGCTTAGAAAGTTCTGTGGGAATCATTACTCCCTCCTTCCTTCCTCCTTTTTGCCTTTCAGTTTTTGATGTGTTGGTTGAAAAAATCAATCATTTTGTCATTCAAGAAGTGATCATCCATTTCTAACAGGAGAGAAAATAAGGGCATGAGAAAAGATGACTTTATACTTTAAATAATGGTAACTAATGCTTATCAAGGAAGGTTTGTTCTGCTCAGAATTAAAGTGATCATATATAATAGGAGTTTAGCATTTTGCTTTCCATCCAAACCAAGACTGCTTGCTCAGGCGCGTTTGAGAAACAGCACAAGATTACTACCGCTATTAGATCTGTCAGCATAAATCTTTCCCACTGGCGATGGGAACTTTTTATTTATTTATCTAGTTATCTATTTATTTATTCTGGAAAAATAAAACCTCTCATATGCCAGAATGAATGAATGCTACTAAATTAATACAATTAAAGACAATGGGATCTCTTATCCACTATTATGAATTAGTCTTTGCACAGTACAGCATCCACAATACAGCAAATTGTATTTTAGTCTTTACCCACTTGGGCAAAGGCACACTTATTACCATCACTCATTTAGATTCTAATTCAATCATCTGGGCAATAGATTTTAATGGGTTCTGCTACTTCTTGATGTGCCCCCAGGGAAGAAGGATTGTATTTGGTTTCTCTCCCTGCATCAAGGAGACAGTGTTGGTTTTAGCCATATAAAAGTACGCTGGCCCTGTGTGCTTGCTGTGCCACACGGGGTGTGGTGAGTGTGTAACAGACACTCACTTTATGAAAACCTTCCTGCTTTACTCAACACTCGATTCACAGACACTGGAAGTTATATGCAGTAGATGTATAATCTGACACCAGGGTCTAGGCACAGGTGTGATGACCTGGCAGAATGCTGCGAAACAGATGAGCAGAGAAAATGCTTCATGTGCCCTTGATTGCGTACTCCTACGTTCCAACCCCAGTGCCTGGAGGGGGCAGTCTTAAATATAGTCTACTGATTGAAATTTTATCATAAATTATATTTTCCAAAGCTATTATTCAAAGTAAAGGTCTAGAAATTATTTTGTATAGATAATCTCAAAACTTAAAATTTTCTAGGAGCAGAATTGCTATATATATCAGCCCACAATGGAGTAATAATATTAATTCACCACATTATATTTGCATGATAATTGAAAGATCATCACATTAATTCATATGACATCCTGCATAGCATTATCCACATTTTTAAGATCAAAATTGGTAACATCCTTTGTTTCAGGTCACAGAGATAGTTAGTGATGGTGTTAGGACTGTAGATTCCACAGTTGGGATTCTTTACACTTTATCTTTTTGATAAATCAAAGCACTCATCAATTCTTCATTGATAAAGAAGAAGTAATGAATTTGTAGCTCTGAGGTAGTCCTACTTTATCATTCCCAAATACAGGCATGTTGGGCCATCTGTCTATTTATGCACTTGTTTTACTTCATAACATCTCTCAGAACAGATTCTTGCCCTCATTGTGGATGACTCCAAGACCCCAAAACATGGCCCTTTCATTCCTTTCCCATCTCCACTGCTGGGATGTCTGCTTCCATCCTATTTCAGCAGCCTACTGGAGTCCATTGTAATCTCTCTGATTGTAACCATCATATTCCTGTCTCCCTTAGAAACTTAGCAATCATGTAACTGATGAGAGGCAAAACAACCCCCTGCTACTTGTGTGGTCTCTGGAATCTAATCCCTGGACTTCAACCCTATTCCAGTTCTGTAATTTACTAGCTGAGCATGTTTTTATGTCATGATAAGACTATGTACTTAAAAGATCTGTAAGATTAAATGAGTAAATACATGTGAAGAGCCAAAAAGTCTGGCATTATCAAGTTAGTGGTTAATAAGTAGCATTTTATTAAGTCCTTCGACCTTTGACCCTTCATTCTCTCCAGTCTTTACCAATGTGTATAGTCAGGGAAATCCCTGAGAATTTGCTGACCTCAAAGCTCAAAAATGTGACTGTGGATCCATAAGAGAAGGAGAGTGCATCTTTGTGGAAACTTACCTGGTAAGTTCTATGAGAGCTGTTCTATAACCTAGCACGGACGTATGGATGGAAGCATGGGTGGTGGAGTCTAAACATCCCGTGGTAGGAGCGAAGCCCTGCGTAGCTGCTGGATTCTGAGTGACATGAGAAAACTGGGAACCCTGTGACCCAGGAAATATAACCAGGGATAAGTTGTCCTAAAGTGCCTTTCCACAGAAGCGTCACGGGTGGGAGGCTTCTGGGCAGATCTGTGGATGAGGAATTCCCTTAATAACAATTTCAGTATCCGAGCAGATACAGGTGAAAGCCTGGGAAGGCAACCAAAGAGAGCAAATCCTGACTCCTAGTTCCTGATTTCTCTGACTGGGACCAGGGAAAGAATTTTCTGCAGGACATTAGCAGGTGCTCCCTGACACGGCCATGTGCACTTGGGGAACACGGTACAGGCCCCGCTTTCTTCTTGGAGAATCACGGGCACATTAACATAGAGAAGTTTCTTAGAACTCCTGCTGTAAACCAGCGGGTTTCACTTTTTCGAATGCTGGTTCTCCTGTTCCTAACTTTTATTTATCTTATTTTTATTTTACCTACACCTACATCCAGGAGATCAGATTTAAGATTTTCATTGTGGAGAGAATAAAGAATGTGATATAAGACCACATTAAAATATTAGCACGATTCCAAGAACTTCAATTTTGCAAAGATCATTTGGGTTTAGTGATTCATGCACACCGTAGAAAACACTGGGTTCCTGGATTCCGAGAACTAGCTCTTCACCCGAAGGACTAGGGGGTGAGCCCCCTCACTGCTCCAACTCACTCTGTTCACCTGTATAGTAGAGACAGTAGTGCTGGTTTAACTCAAAGATTTGTCACAGGAAGAAATAAAGGCTGCTGGTGATCAAGAGAACTCTGTCATGAAAATATGACCAGAGTCCGAGATTTTCATTGAAATTTTATCTCTGTAAATAATGTGTCAGTCTTAAGTTTGTCACTTTATGTAGAAAAATAAGTAGTGACCTACATACAAAAACCACATCATAAAACGTTCCTCTTGGCAAATCAGAGCTTTGTCTTATTAAAGATATTTTGAAAGATAAAGGTATTCATCCTTTTTTTTTGTACTTTTAAGAAAGCCCAGAGGAGAAACAACAAGAAGGTGTTAGACTTAAAGTGGCCCAACTTTCACGTGCTTCCTGAGCATACACTGCTGAAGACCCCTGCTCCCGCATGGAAAATGTTTCCAGATAGTTCTGCTTCTCCACAAGACAAGAAAGGTACCTCTTCTCCACATATCACAAATACCAGAACTTACAGAAAGATATCAAAAGATATTTCATTTAAAAATGCAAAATAAATGTTTTCTAATATAACTTCAAACATACATGGAAGAGGTCATGTGTACACTTGCTAGAGTGCATTTAGCCAATATTGTATTCCTGTTTAATGTTTGATGACTTACACATATGCTTAGGTCAATGTCATGTTGCAATCACCTACAAACATATTCAGATTCTACATCATTCTTTTCCTTTTCACAAACCTTGTGGTCTGTGTACAGGTAAAGGGCCTGAGGGTTAATATCTCAAGAAATCTGATAAAATGACATTTCTATACTGTAAAGTTCATGCTTAGAATTTTAGTGAGGGTGAACTTTCTCAAATAATAATATTTACCACCATTTTGACAAGATCACTCAACTGAAATGGACAGAACTGTAAGCCTTTTTGAAAACAGATTTAATGGTCTTGCTTCTAGCACGTTCTGCCCCCAACAGTGCATCCTACAAGTACAGTCAGAAGGCCTCTTCAGGCAGGTGAGACCCTGGCACCCCCCACCCACAGCCTGCTGAGAGGCTCCTGCCTCGCCTCTCTCAGAGGAAACGTTTTTTCAGGAAACAATCATCTAAGAAGGAATAAAGAGTGAATCACCTAAGAAAGCAATTTAGCAGAAGAAATGCACAGAATATAAAAGCTTCATTGTCTGTTTCTTCAATTGTTCAACCAATTTCTAAATTTAATTTACACTGGAATAACCTAAATGTTGAGATGCTATATTTCACTTGCATTTCAATACTGAGAAACATGTTTGTATATGAGAACCTAAAACATATACTTTCTACTGTTATCTACTATGCTGTCCCCATTAATTGATTAATGTTATACCCCCAAAGGTGGCCTCTCTGGATTTTTCTACCTGTTCCTGGATCTGGCCTCACTCAGGCCATTATTCCAGGCAAGTTCCTCAGGGTCTTTCCATTTGCTGCTCCCGGTACCTTCCCTTCAGACAGGGCTTGCTCACTCCCTCTCTTCATTCTGTAGGGTTCTTCTGCTCAAACACCTAGTCACCTTAGCTGACTCTTCCCTATACAATGGCACCCTCCCATCTCTCTCCCCCGCCTTGTTCTTGTTCATTGTTCCTTATGCTTCCTCATTTTCCTCCTCCTCCTACTAGGCGTGAACTTCATAAAGGCAGACACTTTATTAACTTTGTTTGTTGCTGAAACTCAAGCCCTAGAAGTTTGTGGAATAAAAATATCACTCAATAAGTATGTGTTGGGTGAATATACACAAATAAACAAGTGAATCACATCTGCATGTGCACTTGGACATACATAGAGAGGCCAGAAGGCGCAACAGTTCCCAACTGGGTCCAGACTCAACCCTTTTACAAGCACTTGAGACTAAATGTGGAAATAAACCCAAGGAGGCCAGGTGGGAGTAGGTCCACTGAGATTCAGAGTCTGAGACTGCTCGTGAACCTCTTAGCCCTTGGAACCAGGTGTGTCTCTAGGTAGTCTAGCTTCAAGAGCTGTATGATTGGCTTTTTCTTGGGGTGGACTAGCCCGGAGACAACATGTCCAGGTCACTGTGGAATCTGTGACCACCATCCTCTAAAAGTGGTTGACCTAACTCATTCTGAGCATGTTCTCGTTGTAATGAGCAAGTATTATAAAATCATTGAATTTCAAAGCTAAAATGAATTTTTGCATAGGTGGGCCAATACTCTTTATAAATGAGGAAAAAACTGAGTGACATTTGTAAAAATTCAAACTTTTGTACTCAAGGTTTGGAGAAATTATTTTCCAAGAAATAATTTTAGATTAGCAAGAATTAAGTCACTGCTTCTGAGTCACTGTGTAATATCTACATAAATTCTAGGTAAAGCTTAAAATTTTACACAGGAATAAAGTGATATTAGTATGGCTGCATCATTGTTGTTTGATACCCAGTTTGTAGTGAGTCCTGTAGTGTGAATTAACAAAAGGGGACAGATGAAAACAAGGGTAGGAGGTGACTGACACTCCGGGTGGTGATCAGCGTATGGTGGTGTCTTAGGTCATTCTGACTACTATAAAAAATAGACAATATAATTGAAAAACAATGTAAATTTATTTCTCACATTTCTGGAGGCTAGAAGTCTGAGAGCAGGATGCCGCACGGTTATGGGTGGAACATTTTCTGGGTCACAGACTTTCGCATTGTATCCTCCCAGGGTGACAGGGGTGAGGGAGCTCCGGGGTCTCTTTTATAAAAGCACTAAGCTCATTCACGAGAGCCCCACCCTCATGACCTCAGCATCTCCCAAAGACCCCACTTCCTTATTTGTACCAGCACACAGGGGTTAGGATTTTAACATATGAATTGTGAGGAGGCAGATACAAACACTCCAACCACAGCAGGTGGTTCCAAGGCCTCCAAAGAGGGTCATGGAGATGGGTCCTTACTGAGAAACAGTGGCCTCTCTCCTCACTACAATCCACTCACATCTAAACAGACTTCTGTACATTGTGCCCACTTGTACCGCAGGGCATACATTCTGACCAAGAACCAAGAGCTGAGGACTAGAGAGATCACAGTTCTAATGTTCAAATCTAGATTTTGTTTTTTTTTTCTCTTTCTCCCCACTTAGGCAGAGGACTCAGTTGACCGGCTTCCTTTCCTTTAGGCCTGGCTTCTTAGCACTCACTTTGGATTTAAAGAAATGCAAAGCACCGATATCTATCAGAGATCTCCTTCCAACTTGACCGCTGGTCTCGCTGCCTCCTGGCTTCCCTGTTCTTCCCTGCCCGTTTCCCTGAGTGACAGTGGACATATTCACTATTCGTGACCAAGCTCTTGTCTTCGGACATTACAGGTGCCTTTGCGAAACAAATACTATATTTAATTTTTTCAGGATAATAAGGATATTGAAATAGGCTATGAGTAGAAAAATGTCAGCACAGAAACTGAAGCAAAAAATTAAAATACAAAGAAATATAAATGAGAAATAAACTCCATTAATGGGATCTTGGAAAGCAACTAACTTATATGAGGCAGTGTTTTGTTTAAATAATTACAGATGTCAACAAAGAAATGAGCTGCTACAATTGCAATCTATGTGTTTCTTAACTCTGGTCTGCAGCAAATGAATGATCACAGTGTAAGAAACACAAGGCAAAGGACAACGAAGTTAACCATCTGGAGACTCTGCCTCCGTGCCAGGCGGACCCTGCGTGGGTGCCCTCCATCCTGGCACTGGCAGACTCCTCAGTCTTGACAGCAAGTGTGGACTATCCATCAATCTTAGTCCTCCATTTACACTTCATTAAAAATCTGTTTGCTGTTCCTCTCAAAGATTAATCACACAAGTCCGACATAATAGCTTTGCCAATTTAAATGCTCCCGCTTTAACGTTTCATTTCAAGTGTACTGTAATTACCTTATATTGCTTCTGGCCAAGTTAGAAAACACATTCAAATAATAATCTTATTTTTGGTATATGGTGCACTAACATGGCTCGCCCTCATGTTCATTATGCACAAAATTTAAAAATAAGATATACGTATAAGAGAATCTATCTATTCCTTAAATTGTACAGTTATATACATATCCATAAATTCATAAAGGGATTAATCATTTATGCTTTGGCTGTTTTGGCTCTTTGTACAACCACTGTTCTATCTTATGCTTGTGTTTTTAGTAATAAATTGACACAAGGACCTCCGTCATTGGCTTGTTCAAGCTTATAAACAGGAGTGTGGTTCCCAGTTACGTGTTTTGAGGAATCACTTGTGGCTCTTCAATCCCAGGAAGTTAGAGAGGACGGCACGTCCCAGCGTCATTCTCCACTCCCCCGACATCTGACTCACTCTTCACCAGAATTAACTCAGAGCACAAACCTCGTGCCATAGCTGTACCAGATACTCAAGAAAGCATACATGATTTTTAGGAATACTTTCCCTTTGTCATGCAAAGAGTAAGCACTGATTCAATTTCCTTCTTTTTGTTGTTTATTTTTTTATATGAATTGGAAAGTACTAGGTAAAGAAGGCAGGTGTGTATGAATTACAGGTCCAGCTAGGCTTTGGCTACCAAGAAAGTGTTCCTTACATTTTATATGTAAATCAGAGACAGATTTCCAGTTTTCTTTACCATTCTCAACTGATTGGTGAGGCAAGCTCTGCAGAGACTGCCAAAATTAATGTTAGTATAGAAGCCATTTTAATTCATTATTTTCAGGTAACTTTTCTTAACTAGTGGTGGCAACTAAAATTCACTTTTGATATTATATCTAAGTAAATGATTAAGAAACTAAATTGTAAACATGTTGGATTTTTCATTCCTTCATTCATTCATCAGATATTTATTGATTCCCTACAACATGCCTAGGCCCCTTTAGACACTGGTAAATTCAACTCAACAGTTAACCAAAGAACCAAAAAATTCCTTCAATTATACTTGAGAAGGTGATAAAAATGAAAACAAGATACATAGTGTCAAAGATGCAGTTCTAAATACAGTAGAGGGAGGTCTTCACCGAGCAGATGATGTGAACAAGCAGGGGATAAAATGTAAGCAGAGAATCCCAGGCAGCTGGAAGAGCATCTTCCACGTCCTGGAGGGGAGGGCAGAGCGCACCCGAGAGCAGTGCACCTGCAGCCCAGGGAGGGGTCGAGCATCAGGGGATGAGACTCTGAAATTTACCCTGTGTATCCTGAAAGGCCACACGAATTATGTGAACTAGGGAGTGAAATGCTGACTGAGGCTATTAAAGATCACGCTGACTCTTGTTGAGAATAGACTGCTGGGGAACTCAACCTGAAGAGGCCAGTGATGGGGCCAAGGCAACCATTCGGGTTCAACAGGGCAGTGAGCCAGGCAGACCATGAGGTGGTGAATGGCGCTTGGTCCTGGCTACATTGTGCAAGTACGGTAACAGGACTGGCTGTTGGGTAGAACGTGGGGTTTAAGAGACAAAAACAGCTGAAATTGATTCCGATACTTGATTAACTAAAACTCTAGGAATGTTCAATCATAAATTTAATGTAGATGTTCAGTCATTTTGACAATATTTACTAACAATTTCTAACAACACAAAAGAGGATATACCTTTTTTAGTTAACCTGAGTACAGGTGGAGATCCCAAATGGTCTCTCCTTGCATACTTTGTTACTGCTAGTTGAAAAGATATTTTTCTCTTCTCACCCGCAAAATACTTTTTTTAGATTTCATAATCAGCCACTATTTGTCTTCCTGAGAATGTATTTTTCTTAATAATTATGTTAAAATTACTAAAACCATTCTATAATTTCACAGTTACTGTTCACAGTGTTATTATTCTGCATCACTTTTCCTGTCAAGCTATATTACAAAGTTTCTGGAAAAAACTCAGTCTTTCATTATACATACTCATTCAGAGTCTTTCTTGGAAGAGTATAAAGTATCCACAGCTAGACTGTTGTTTGTGTTCTCCTCCAGTCAGTGTTGTTCCTTTCACAAAGTGAGTACAGTTACTGGGGTGCTGTCCATTACTGTGGATGGCTAAGCAAATGGCAAAAATCTGAAACATAATCAATGCAGCCACTGTGCACCTGGGCGTCCTCACATGATCTGTGTCCCAGTTTTGAAATGTGAGGGTTGAGCAGACAAACAAAAGTGAGACAGCTTTCCAGCCACCTTTATTTTCGCCGAACTGACTTGAGTGAAGTTCACCTTTGACTGTGTGGTTCCTGATTTGCAATTATTTCAGCAGCAGCTCCTGAAAGGCTCATAGTGATTACACAACATCTGCTTCTCCTTCCAAAATTGTTCAGACCCTGAAAATATTAAAACCCATTAAGGCAATTAAATAAATTTAGCAGGCTGGGCTGGTTTAGCCTCTCCAATAATACTGGCAAGAAGATGACCAAATCCATCTGGAGTTTGTTGTCATTTCTTGGAATTTCATTATAGAAATGTGAGCACTGCCATGGATTACGGTGGCTTATTCACAGCAGGAGGAGGTTGAAATCAGTCGTCGACTTCAGTCCACAAGTGCACATGGCCACCCTATGATAACCATTCTCAGACTTCATGGACATACACTAGGGGTACTGCTAAAGATTGATTATGGGATTTTTTTTCTAAGTGAAAAAGATAAAACAGTTTTTAAAAAGAGACTGTTGGAGGCATGTATAACTATATACCTCATTTGGAAGAGCTACTGATTATCCTTGAGTTCTAGACCTTTTATCAGTAAACTGATGCCCAACTGTCAGTTTACTAATGAGTTCCTTCAATTCTATTGTCTTGGGAAAATGACTGAAGGAATATGATAAAATAGACTAGCTAGTATCTACCACATTCTACAATCAAGTCAACACTAGATTATGACACATCTCATTTACAGAAGTATACAGATTTTAATGTTCAAAAAATACTAAGAACAATAAGAAAAGTGGATCTTTTTTCTCTTCTTTTCCCAAAGTGTTAAATATTGTCACTCTTTTCCAGTCTGATTTGAAGCATTTAAAAAAATCATGGCTCTAAAAAATAACTATCAAAAAATTACTTGTACAAGAGCTTAGGGTTACTTATCCCCAGACTCCTGAGAAACTGACGAGGTGGCAGCATTTCCAAGGCCCTGTAAGTGCTGATGCTGTAAGAATCTGTGTAACAGTGGTGGGTGCCTTCTCATCCACATGCCCTCCTTCTACTACCCCATTATTTCGAGGGAAATAATGTTCTCCGTGATGGCCGGCTTTCCGCACCCACGTACTCTAGCAGAGATGCTCTCCAGGTAGAATTAACGATGGAAGAAAACTGTGCTGTGCCGGTCTTTCCAGGCTATGAGGTCTGCTGAGTGTGGTCAGGAAGGGAGAAGGGGCTGCACACCGAAGGCACAGAGCTCACGACAGGGCCAGAGGCCCAGGCCCCAGGGTGATACGATTGCAGGTGACTCACTGAAGCCATGCAAAGAGCACAGGCAGGAGTCCAGTCCTCAGTGTGGCATGGATGCGCAGGAAGTGCCTGTGGAACCAGCATAGGCTATAGGTTCCTTCAAGAGGGAGAGGAGAGCTAGGCTCCCCAGACTTGCCTGTCCCTGTCCTGGACACCGCAGGCTGGCTAGAACATGTGATCACTTCCTCCCTCACTCCCCACCTTCCTCTTCCACATGCTTCCCCCTTGTCCTGGCTTTCTTTGCAATGGCCCGGCCCTGAGATGTCCCTCTCGTCTTCTTTCTTGTTGGGGCCATGCTCTAGCACAAGTGCATAGCCAAGGCTGAGGGGAGTCCTGACATCTGTGAGGGTCTCTGGGTAGAGTGACAGCTTTGTCAGTCCCTGTTCTCCATGGTGGGCTGGGGCAGGACTCTTCTCAGAATGGTCACGATGGCAAATAATCTGTAACATGTTCTGGCTTTGAAATGTAATTTGGTTTGTTATCTTCGTGTATGCATGTATGTATAAAGATAAATAAGTAGGAAAACAAACAAGTACATTTTGACTAGACTTTTGAAAAAAACCGTTGGGGCTCCCGGGGGTATCTTTGTACTTACAGAAATTCTGATGTTATATAAGCAGCAGTTATTGGGGATTTAGTCCCAGTGAATTCTGACAGATGAGTTGCATTGAGCCACTAACATTCTATTTGCGTAGATGTGCAGAAGTACTTAAAACTTTTAAGAAGTGTCCTTAATAGCTAATACATATATACTGCCTTTATGGGGAAAAGAGATAAATAAGAAAGATTTCCTGTCTTTAAATTTAGTTTATAAAAAGAATGGGATAAAATAATGTGTTAACTTTTAATGATACTGTGCTAGTCTTCCTGTTTTAACTAAAGTATTTATAAGTTTCTTCTTCCTTTTTTCTTCTTTTATTAATTTAAATTAGGGAGTTAAAAATGTCTCATTGTAAAATGCCAAGCTGGAATCATTACTCAAATCTACACCAAGAAATGGCAAAGCCAGC